ATATATATATATATATATATATAAGTATATTACTAATATAGTATATTAATATATAATTATTATTATTTTATTATATATTATAATTTATAAAATTTAATTTTTTGAATATCATAATTTTTTTATATATAATTATTTTAAATTATTTTATATTTCGAACAATATCGATTCGAACACGAACGAACGCATCACTGTTATTGTTTGATTCATTTAACTAATCGAACGAACAAAATTTGTTCATATTCGTCTCGTCTACTTATTGAACGAATCAAACACAACCTTATTGACGAACCAAACACAAATTGTTCGCGAACAATAAGCTTTTTTGACAGCCCTAAGTGGTAGGCTAAATTATAAAATATCATTCACTCTAAAAGTCCAAAGCTCACAAAGAGCAACGTAATCACGAAGAGAACAGAAATTGAAGCAACAAACTTTTCATTAAGGCTGTAAATCAAGCCGAGCTTGAGCGAGCTCAGGCTTGGCTCGTGTTCGGCTCGTTCGAAATAGCTCATGTTGAAATCGGCTCGTGCTCGAAACCGGCTCGTGAACAGTGTGTTCGTGTTCAGCTCGATTTAAACATTCGTGTTCGTGTTCGGCTCGTGTTCAGCTCGAAATTGACTCGTTAAACTAAAATTGAAAAAAATAGATGTAAAATGTGGGATTCGAACTTGGATTAAATCTGTACAAAAGAAGGCATTAACCACATTGTCACATGAAGTGTTATGATTTAAACATAGACATAAATATATATAATATATTATTATATAAATAAAATATGTAATATATTATTATATAAAAAGTTATATATATATTTTTTTTTTCACTCCATTTCGAGCCTAACACGAGTGAACAAACTGTTGTTCGTGTTAGGATTGTTTTTATTTCGCGACGAACCGAGCTGCTTAACAAGCCGAACACGAGCTGTTCAAGAACAACGAGCCAAATTGACCGCCCTACTTTTCATTAGTGAACGACAGCTCAATCAAATGAACAACGAATCCAATGAGTCAACAAAGCAGCCAAAGCAGACTGAAATCTCAAAAGTATTGACACAAATTTAAGAAGTAGCCCAACAATTTCCAATAACAAGCAAGAGCTCAACCAGAATCAAGTCAATCCAAAGAATCAACAATGGTAACCAAAATAGTGTGGATGCCCGCCACTGTTACTTATAGGTTGCTATTGACTCTTGTCACGGTCTTAGTTGTTCAGGTTTTTAGATTGATTTCATTTTGTTTGAATTTTAAAAAAATAAAAAATTTATTTATATGCACACCACTCAATTAATATGTATTTACATGTCTAATACCTAAAATTCAATTTTTGCATGTCTGCTACCTTATATGCATGGGCATTGGACGGGTTGGGTTTGGCACAGGCTAGCCTTATTTGGGCTTTAAGCTCAATTTTATTTAAATTTTTTTAGCCAAATCTGTCCACTAAATGAGTCTGGCTAGCCCTAGGGCTCACGGAACTTGGCCGAAAAAAAAAATGAATTGAAAAAAAAAATTTTTGATCTGAAAATATAAACTAAAAATTTTATATTTTAAAGACATATCCAAAGTTTACAAATCCTACTGGCCTTTCACTCTCAATTGCAAAGGTTTTCCAAAATAAAAAAAAATGTTAACGTTTAAAATAAAGAATACCGGAAAAATTTTAAAGTTTAGATGTTAAACATTAAATAAAAAAATTTGAATGGCATGCATGTAAATATAAATTTCAGGTTATGGAATGGTGTATATATATATATAACCTTGCTCATTGGTGCGGCCTCTGACATAAGTCCCTCAGGTCGGCGGTTCGAATCTCGTGGTGTGGACTCTTTGAATCAGAATCAAGCACATCGGATTTTCAACCTATATGGGGGAATCGATATTTGATGCTCACTGGACCAAATAGTGATTTCACCTTTTAAGAAAAAAAATATGTATGTGTGTGTGAATGTGTAAGAATAGAATAGTATTTTTCTAGATATTTAAAGCATAGATTTCAATATATAAATATTTAAAAATCGCATGCTAACTTTTTTATATATGTATAGTATGAGAGTCTTTAATAATAGATATAAATCCTATAGAAATTGTCTTTTTTCATGAAATTTGGTATATAATTTTTTTTTCTCAGGTCTGGCTACTAAATCAGTGCAGGCTCAGGTCGGGCACAACCCGCCAAATTTCTATTTTCTTACAGCCACACTTGCTCATGACCTGCGGACTTATGGCGAGCCCATCGGGCCAACTACCCAATGCTCATACCTACTATTTGTGCATGAAAAAAGGAATTTAAAAGTTGAAATGTTATTGTTAATATATTAAAAAAAAAAAGTTTCTACAGTCTATTTATATAATTACTTTCCTTTTACAATTTTATTTTTGTTTTTTAGACAGTGAGCGCAGTCTTGAAGGATTATTCACTTTGTTTGAGTCGATATGCTGAAAGTGTGAGCATTATTTTTATAAATCTTATTAACATTTTTGTTTGAATATACATTTTTGCCATTAAAACTTATATTACGAATCGTTTAATAAATGTGATAAAGCTAACATCCCATCTTATTTGGAGGAGTGAATATATATAAATACCTATATCTACCTCTCAATATATATATTCAAAAGAAAATCAATATTTGACATATGCTCAAATATTGATTTCCGATATGCTTTTAAGCCTCATGATGAGAGTCTGCACCGTATCCTAAAATTCCACAGCCCCCGCCCCACGGTAAGATCGAACTCTTGACTTGAGCGTACTTACAGGGACCGCGCCACAAACAAGCCAAGGCTTGAGGCATATATATAT